CCGGTGGCCCTTGGGGACCGTTGGGCCCTGGAGGACCAGCCTTTTTACCTGGAAAACACAAGGACAGGCCTCACTGGGGCTGCAGGGAGTGGGAGCCTGGGGATGGATCACTCCTGGCTCAGCACAGCCAGGGTTGGGGTCCTACGGCTCCACGCATGAGCACAACGCTGCCAGCAGGGCAGGAGCAGGTCCCCACCCTGCAGGCTCCTTCCTGGTGGGAATCACACTGAAACGAGGCATGGGGGCTCTCCAGGGCCTCTCAAGGGATGGAGGCTCTGGGCCACTCCACTCAGTTTGGAGTCACTCCTCAAGTCCCATGCCTTGGGGCTGGTCACATCCCTATGTACCCAGGATGATCTCTGGACACAGTCAGGATGTTCCCACAGCACATTCCAATGCACCCAGCCATGGCTGGGCTGTTCTGGTCAAACAGACAAACCACTCTGCAGTTGCTGTATTTGCTGGGTTTTGATGGAAAACAGGGATAATCTTTCCTACCTGTTGCACAGGATTAGGACTGGGAGATGATCCCCATGGCTTGGTCTCCTCCAGAGGGCAGTTCAGAGCTGAGCTCCAGCTCTTCCCCAGTGCTGCTGGAGGAGCCCCTGTGCTGCTTGTGCCTCAAAATAATTCAATATTTTGGGCTTGGGAAGGACTAACCCATCCAGGGGATGGAAACACGGGGGAATTGTCACAGTCACAGATCCCAGACTGGTTTGGGTTGGAAAGGACCTTAAAGCCCATCCAGTCCCACATTCCACTAGCCAGGCTGCTCCAAGCCCTGTCCAAGCTGGCCTTGGACACTTCCAGGGATCCAGGGGCAGCCACAGTTTCCCTGGATAACCTGTCCCAGTATTTTACCAGCCTAGTGGTAAAAATCCTTTTCCCTACCATGATCCTCAAACACCCCACAGGTCCCAAGGAAGAGAAATTACACAACCACATCAGGAATGACTCCTACATACAGAGTGGGATGAAAGAAACTCTGCAGGGAAAGCCTGGTCCCCACTCTCCTGATTTTCCTGACAAATTGATGTTCTTTTGATGTAGTTTTTAAAATGCCACTTTGGAACAGCTTTTCTGCCAAGGAACATAAACAGAGCAAAATCTCTTCAATTGCTGCCACAAGGTCCCCAGTAGGACAGAATTAAATTCATATTTAGATGACAGCAGCAGTTGGGATATGAAATTATAGTTGTTGGAATAGTTTCTGAGCACATTTATGTACTTGTTTCTCCACCAATATCCATCCTCGTAATGGACAGAAGTGTGAGGACAAATCCATCTGTTTTAGCACAGGACTGGGAATCTCTAGGTGGCCACTAGCCAGGAGCAAGGACATCAGGGTGGGACAACTGTGGGCATAATTTAAATGTGCAGAAAATGAAGTTAAAGCAAGCAGGAGTGAGTAAAGTCACACTGGCATCCTACAAAACGTGGGAAAAGGCTTCAGGGAACAAATCTCCACAGCAGTATTTCTCTCCTAATCAGCAGCCATGACATCCTACCTGAGCTGGCCACAATCCAGACCTCCTCTAATCCAGTACTTCTCTTCAGGATGATGTCCTGCTTTGGAAATTATCACCTTGAACGATTTTCCCAACACCAAACTCCTCTCACTGACATCTCTACAATCCAGGCCATCCCAAGGGAGGACTGCAGACAGGGAGTTGAGAATGCTGCTGCTGTGACTCCAGGCTTCCCTTCCCAAGAGGGATGCACATCACAGCTGGTTTAACTCATCTGCCTTCGAAATCTGCTCTGCTACTCAGGGAGCTGCTGCTTGAGCAGTGAAAATCGCTCATCCCAGCCACACATTTCTGTGCCTTTCCCTCCTTTGAGGCACTTCAACCACTTCTCTGCATTAACAAACCTCACAAGACACAAGATATTCTGTTTATTATCTGATAGCTCCCTTATCAGGTCTCCAAGGAGGGTCCAGCACCTAAATCCCAGCCTGCCAAATCTCCCATGTCTGTACCCACGGGCTCTGAAACTCAGAGCAGGCAGAAGCAGGGAGTTCTCCATAATCCTCACTCATCAAACAATGAACTGGAACTCTAAAGGCATTAAATATGACAATACCATAAAATTAAGCTACTTTATACAGCTGTATGCAATCCAGCTCCACGAGATCCCCCCTGCCCCTCTGGAATTGCTCTGGAGGCTGCAGCCATCAGTTGTTATTTGTGGGGCTGATTGAACGTGGGCTGAGCTTTGTTAGGACAAACTTCTCCAACATAAAATTTTATGCTGCTTCTCGGGATAAATACAAACAAAGTTGCTAAGTGTGGCCTGTTCCCACCTCTCAGCTGTGGCTCTGGAGTTTGCATTCAAAGATTAAAGACATTTGATGTGCAACTGCAGTAGTACAGACATTGAAAACGCGACTGCTCCATCCTTGGACTTGCTCAAACTCCTGGAACTGAATGTGGGACCCTATGTGTGGGACCTAAGTGTGGGATTCTAAGTGTTCCCAGCAGTCCTACAGAAACAAGGATGGCATCAGGAACCCCCCAAAACAGGGCTGCCTGAATAACCCAAATCCCAACAATCCACTGCAAACTGCCTGAGGAACATCACGAAATCCACAAAACCTTGAGGGCTGAGTAACACTCAGAAGGGGCTCATAAAATGATAATTTGGAGGTTAAAACAAGGAAAAGCAGAATGCAAAATGTGTTCATGCTGAGTTTGGTGGGTCTGAAGGAGAATCCAAGCTGCAAGTTGGCAGGACTGGGATGAAAGCCAAGGCTGGGAAACAGCAGCAGCTCCTGGTATTTGGTACTGACTCAACTCAACTCTTCAACTGGAGAATCTTCAGGATTACTTCTGCACAATGTAATTAAATTCTTTCAGTGTTTAAGGAAGTTTTAAGGGGTGCTTGTGGGTGTTATTCCAGCCTTTCCTCGAGAGGGAAGCTGCCATTGGTTTCTCCTTTGTATTGGCCGAAGAGAATTCACAAAGCACAGAGAGGAAAATGCAGTTAAAAGTCAAACTTACCCTTTTTCTTGTTTTTCACTGAACTTGGACCTACAAAGGGGAAAAGAAGAATGAAAATTAGTGAAATTCAGTGATCATTTCATCAGAGAAAATCCCCATTGCCATTTTATTTTCCAAGTGGACAATGGATGTATTTGTGGCCCATGCAGCAGCACAGGAATGGTCTCAGCTGAGAGCAGTAACCCAAATATCAGAGCATCACAGAGTGGTTGGGGTTTGAAGGGACCTTTAAAGATCATCTGGTCCAACCCCCTGCTGACTCCTTGTGAGCCAAGTTGTTTAAAAATAAGAATAAAACACTAAAAAACCACAAAAGCAAAGAATTATTCTGAACTGGCTAATTGAAACAATGGGAACCCAAATCTCCCAAGCATGGAGAGAAAATATTTACAGTGGATCTGAGAAATGACAGGACTTTGTGAGCTGAGGCTGAAGTGTGAAACATGTTCCACTGCTTCCCCAAGAATTCATCATGTATGGGAATTAACTTCAAAAATCCCCAAATACTCCCTTGCTATTCATCAGGGAAATCCCACTAAAACCTGGGGTTTAGCACAGTAATGACTGAAATCACCTTTAACTGAAATAAAATTATGACCAATTGAAAGTAATGAGGTTGCTTTGAGTCTGAGGGGGTGGGGAAAGGTAAATTCCCAACAGAAAAGCCATTTCCCCATAGATAGGTAGAGGAAAGAGAGGAAAAGAACCAGAGAAATTACCCATCAACTTTACTGATGCTTTTCCAACAGAAATATTGATTTTCCCACATTGTGCTGTTGGGTCATGGGAAAATGATGGTATTATCTATAAAAGGCATTATCTGTAAAAGACCTTACCTATAAATGGGAGATTATATAATTTATATAATTTAAGGGAGTAATTCCTCCCTGTGAGGGTCTGGCACAGGTTGCTCAGAGAAGCTGTGGCTGCCCCATCCTTGGAAGTGTCCAAGGCCAGGCTGGACAGGGCTTGGAGCAACCTGGAATAGTGGAAGATGTCCCTGCCCATGGGGATGAATGAGCTTTAAGATCCTTCCATCTAAATGATAATTTCTGCTAATTCACTATTTTAAATAATATTTTTATACTATTTTTTTATAATACTCAAAGGTTGGACAACACAAGGATTCCTAACAATGCCACTCCAGTATACCACTAGGGAGCCACACCAAATTGCAAAACCTTTTAGGCTGGACAACCAGGCTCCTGATTCTGCACTTCTGAGCCCCACCAGTTCTCATTGTAGCCACCAGCCACTGAACAACATTAGAAGAGGGGAAAAAAAATCCCATTTAAAGATCCCAGCCCATCCCAGCCCAGCGAGACGCGAGCGGCTGTGCCTCGGCAGCCCTCGGAGTCACGAGAGTTTATTTCATGTTCCATAGATCCCACCATTAGCACCAGAACCAGAGTGAAAGTACAAATAGCTGTGGCCAGCCAGACACATTTGGGCTGGCTGGATCCAATTAGCTTCAAAGATGACTGGGAGGAATGAGAACCACATGGGATGTCAATGTTCGCAGTCTATATTACAACACACGCATCTGTTCCAGGCACGACAGAGAGAGATGTTATGGATCTGCAAGTGGAGCTTTCGACAGACACAAAAGTATTCCTGACACGAGGGGGGAAAAAAACTCAGGATTATTAAGCTTGGGAGCTTCTGAGTCTCTCTGGAGTTTGCATCTGTTCGCCTCCCGAGAGCAGGGGGGGGATCGTTTAATTGGAGCGCAGAGCTGAAGCTTCTGATACAGCAGAATTTCCCTTGGTTCTGCTCAAAATGGGAAGTTCATGAGCTACTGCTCCATTTAGGCTAAAATGGTAATAAATTACTGGGTCTAAGCTGAGGGCCACCAAAATTTCAGATCAGTATTCCTCTCAGGTGCTGAGGTGTTGAGGCATAAGGCTTGAAAACTTGCCTAGATGTGCAGAGGAGAAAAATGGTAATGAAAATATCCTTTCTGCCAGGGTTTTCAGAGGCCACAACCCAATATTTAAATATTACACTTGTTATAATATTTTAAAATACTTTTCAAAATATTTAAGTTAGTTAAATGCAGTGGTTGAACACACAGATAATATCAATATAATATAATGGATACCCCATTCCCTGGAAGTGTCCAAGGCCAGGCTGGATGGGTCTTGGAGCAACCTGGGATAGGGGAAGGTGTCCCTGCCCATGGCAGGGCAATGAGGTGAGTGTTAAGGTCCTTCCCACCCAAACCAATCTGGGATTCCATGATATATCTGACCCACTGATTACCCCTTAATTGATGGTTAAATACCTAAAAGTTATGCAAATCATTTATTTACTGTGGCTTCATGCAGCCCTTGATTCCAAGGATGGCCTAAGAGAAAACTCTGTTTTTTCCACTCCAAGATGTGGATCACAGGTGTATCCACTGTGATCCTTCACTGTCCAGGAGTATAAAAATTACAGGATATCTTCTGCTGCTCCAGAGCCTACAGACCTGCCACTTTCATGGAGAAGGAAACTCAATTGACTTGAAGAACTTCTGAAGAACTTCGCCATGCTGCAGTTGAGGATTTATTCCAGTACCAATGGGATCTGAGAGCAACCCAACTTCTCAGCTGTTCCCTGGCACCTCTTTTCCCTTCTTTTTAAGTGTGCACCTTTCTGAGTGCACCTTTCTGCTCCTGATGAATCCCTTTCCATATCCATCAGGAATGTCCCAGAGATCCAGGTGGTCCCAGCTGCCAGGAGTGAATGTGACAGCCACCCAAGCACAGTTATTCTTCCTGACTTCTGTCCTTCTTCCCACTAATCCCACATCTCCTTTTCCACATCCCACCTCTCCCTTTCCACATGCTGCCTGCTCTCCTTTGAGGTCAAACCAGGCCCAGACCTCGGGAAGTCCATCCCCTTCTGCTTTTCCCATCTTTCAACTGGAATTAAATATATGTTTAAACTCTGATTCCCCCTTGAAGGAGTTGTCAGCTCTGTTCACCCCCTTGTTTAGGGGGAGGGAAGTTGGCCAGAGCTGTTAATACAGAAATGGACTGGGAAAGCAGGACAGGCTGGATGGCTTTGAAGGATAATAAGCATGGAATGAGATTCAGTCATACAAAATATACAGTCCTATAAAATATATATATATAAATATATGGGAAATAATAAAGTGCTCTGGTGGATGCTGGAGGACACCTGCACGTGCTCAGCTGCTGCTGCTCAGCCAGGCAAGGCAGAAACACAATCCTAAAATGGGAATAACTCTGGAAAACATGGGGAAATCCTGCTGCCACTTAATGAAGGCTGAGGAAATCCTGGGAACAGTGAAGCCAATCTGAATCCTCTGACACAGAAAGATGAATTGAACTGAGAGAAATTCCACAGAAAACATCCTGGAAGGAATAAGAAGTGGGTTCAGATGCAAACACCTCACTTGAAGCTGAGGGAAACCCTTGCAAGAGATGAGTTTTTGGTGTGCAAACCCCCAGCTGTGGCCCAGCCAGCAGCAGAAGACATCTCCCCAGGCTTCAGGGAGCAGGTTCCAGCCCCTGCTCCTGCAGCCATACCATCTGCTGGAGCCATTCCAAGGCCTTCAGAAAAATCCCAGATGGTGATGCAACTCAAGGATATTACATGTGACATGTTTGCTCTCAGCAAGATTAATAGAGTTGACTTTGCCCCCCCTTCAATCTCTCTTTCTGCACGCTACACGCTGCTATGATTTACTCTAAATACAGAAATATCCCAAACTTCTTTAGGACATCTGCTGATATAAATAGGATATTAAAAAAACCCTGCATTCCCTTATTAGCTGTGTGTGTGGATTAACAAGAAATAGTTTAAATTCCTGCCAAACAGTTCCAACTGGTTTTATGGATGGGAACAGATCTTTGTAATTATGCTGATTTTATATCAAACCTATAAAAGGCTGACCATTACAGGAATCAGCCAAACAAAGGATACACCTAAAGAGGTGCTGAACATGCTGGAATTCCCAGTTGCCAAGAGCAGAAAAAAGCCATGGAATGCCACAACCATGTTTTAGCAGCATCACTTCATTCAGAACACAACACCAAGTGATGTCTTTAAGTTCATCCAGTTTGGGAAAGGTACATGGCAGCAGCCACCAGTTTTGGGTATCCATCCATCCATCCATCCATCCATCCATCCATCCATCCATCCATCCATCCATCCATCCGAGACTGTGCCAACCCGTTTTCAGCATTCATTTGGAATTATTGATCCTTCTCCTATTTCCCAGCACTGAGTTACTATGGAACATCCTTAACCTTTTTCCCTAAGTGTGACACTGGTCTGGGGACATGTAAGACCAGGTAATTCAAGTGAGGCACCTCTGGGTTTCCATCTCCCCTCCACCCTTGGAGAGGAGAGAATGGAGGTACTGAGGAATTATCCTCATCCCAGGTTCCAGATTAGAGACAAAATCGTGGTGATTAATGAGATGTTGGCGCAATCCAGAAACACCACATCACTTCTCACTCTTTTGGAAAATAAACATTAAATCATTAAGTCACAGATTCATGGGATAGTCTGGGTTGGAAGGACCTTAATGCTCATCCAGTCCTACCCCTGCCATGGGCAGGGACACCTTCCACTAGCCCAGGTTGCTCCAAGCCCTGTCCCAACTGGCCTTGGACACTTCCCACGATGGGGCAGGCACAGCTTCACTGAAATCAATTCCAGCCCCTTACCAACAACACAGGGAAGAAATCCTTCCACATGTCCAAAAACTAACCCTCTTTCAGTTTGCACCCCTTTCTCACTGTCCTCTCACGGCCATTCCTGATGACGAGTCCCTCTCTGGCCTCCTTATACATCGTTTCAAACACTGGAAGTGGTGGAGTGTCCATCCCTGGAGGTGTCCAAGGAGGCCTGGATGTGGCACTCAGTGCCCTGGGCTGGTGACAACATGGGGATCATCCAAGTCACAGCTTGGACTGGATGATCCTGATGGGTTCCAGCCTCAAGGACTCTGGGTGAAGTCCTACCCATCAACCAACCCCTCTATCCCTATTTTACCAATACCAAAGGTGGGAAGA